ATGGCTTCAAAATTTCATGCACTTATGTATCCATGGTTTGCATCTGGTCATATAACTCCGTTCCTGCATCTTGCCAACAAATTGGGTGAGAAAGGTCATAGGGTTACTTTCTTGCTTCCAAAGAAAGCTCTGAAACAGTTTGAACATCTCAATCTGTATCCACACCACATTGTCTTTCGCACTGTGACTGTCCCTCACGTCGATGGTCTCCCCCTTGGCGTAGAGACAGCCTCTGATATCCCGATATCATCAACGAATCTCTTGGCGTCCGCTATGGATCTCACTCGTCCTCAGGTTGAAGATGTGGTCCGAGCCTTGGAACCGGACTTGATCTTCTTTGACTTTGCTCATTGGATTCCGGAAGTAGCTCGAGAGTTTGGCGCTAAGAGTGTGGATTACCTTCTCTTGTCTGCAGCTGCTGTAGCTACTCTGATAGTCCCAGGTGGTTGTGAGTTTGGTGTTGCTCCACCGGGATATCCTTCATCAAAGGTGCTGCTCCATCAAAAAGATGTCTACTCCATGAAGCCTGTTGCGAATTCCACCGAGGATTTCGCTGCGTTGCAAGAGCGGTTCACCGCAAGCATTACGAAATGCGATGTTATTCTGATAAAGGCATGCAAAGAGCTTGAAGGGGAGTTCTGCAACTACGTGGAGAGGAAATTCGAGAAGAAGATTCTCTTCACGGGACCGATGCTTCCTCAAGCAGATACGACTATACCATTAGAAGCACAGTGGAGTAACTGGCTAGGCGGGTTTGAATCAGGCTCCGTGGTTTTCTGTGCATTTGGTAGCCAAACCATTATGGAGAAGGATCAATTCCAAGAACTCTGCTTAGGAATGGAGCTAACCGGTTTACCATTTCTTGTAGCGGTTAAGCCGCCAAGAGGAACATCAACAATTCAAGAAGCATTGCCAGAGGGATTCGAGGAACGGGTCAATGGACGTGGAGTTGTTTGGGGAGGATGGGTTCAACAACCACTGATATTGTCTCATCCATCGGTTGGATGTTTTGTGAGCCATTGCGGGCAAGGTTCCATGTGGGAGTCTCTGGTGAGTGATTGTCAAATAGTCTTGGTGCCACAAATAGCTGAACAAGTCATCAACGCAAGATTTATGAGTGAGGAACTCGAGGTTTCGGTTGAAGTGGCAAGAGAGGAAACAGGATGGTTTTCAAAAGAGAGCTTGCGCGATGCTATCGAAAGTGTGATGAATAGAGACAGCGAGCTCGGGAATCGAGTGAGGAAGAATCACACCAAGTGGAGGAAAACAATAACTAGTCCTGGACTAATGAACGGTTATGTCGATGATTTAATAGAATCGTTCAAGGATCTCATTGTCCATGAGACAAACCATGACTGAAATCACAGGTTTGTAAGAAAGATACGAAGACTATGCTGTTTCTGCGTAGCAATGGGTGATCYATAAGGTTAGATATAAACCAAAACTATCATGGAGTGCTTGTGTTTTCTAGTTGGCTTTAGAATAATGTATTTTAGGTTGTATCATCATGGTTCAACTCATGTATTACTTTGGGTACTTCCGTTCCAGAAAATATATATTTATAATCTAAGGATGTCAGTATTAAAACCTATGGAATAGTTCCATGGTAAAAAAGTTTGAAAACATGGAAGCATAAATATGAAATGTTTTCAGTTCGTCGACTCGACACTAACACAAAGGTTAATGGAGACGAAGTAATGATGCATTTGTTCAATCCAAATCTGATATTAGAGATGATGCACTTCTTTATAAATTAATATAATACCGTTGACCCAAAAATATTAATTTATAGAGTTTTAAATGACATCCTCTCATGATTTGGGTTTAGAAAAACCTTAAAATATTATATAAGATTGTACATTTGATAAAATAACAAGTTCTACTTTCATCCCAGTTTTTACTGGTACCTTTTTACTAGTATTTAAATTTAATAGTATCATTTGCCTAGACTAATCTTTGTTTCAGGTTAATTTACTAATTAGCTCAACAAATAAATTCTAAATAAAACTAAAAACGACCAACAACTATATGCAATCATACACTCATTAGACCAAGAATCTATACTATATAAAAGTTGAGGCTATAAGTTCATAAAGACGTCCACATAGGATTTAAATCCACCTATAATAGCATGCCACGTCAAATATTTAGAATTATGTTAATTTTGTTTTTGTTGATAATAATTGAAAAATAAGACATGATTTCCTTATATCATTAGCTCATAAATCCAAGTAATTTCCAAATTTTTGTGGATTTAATTTCCTATTTCAACTTTAGATTAGGAAATTTTCTTAATTTAAAAGTTTTAAATATTTTTAAAAACGTTACTATTTCAAATTTACGAAAATTTAGGAAAAGTATTTCTATTTATTAGCTAAAGAAATCTACTGCAACTAGGATTAAGAAAATATTAAAAAGGAAATATATATATTAGAAAAAAAGAATTGCGAACAATATGTATATAAAAACAGTATATCACGTACTAAAACCCTAATGCAATAATATTCGATTTGTAAACTTATATTCCTTTACGTGACACCTTAGTGGCTAACCCCGTAATTTTTTATATCTATCATACCTATGATCTCATCTATAAAATTCATAATCACGTACGTCCCCATATATTAATGTTCTATTTTTGTTATCGATTTTTTAATAGTCTTTTGATGTTCCTTCCCATCATATTTGCAAATTA